AGCCCTTGCCGAACGTTCACGACGAACGTTCAATGTTTCAATCCTTCAGGCTGTGCATCTGGTCTCATGGCGAACGACCCTACAAGACGAGTCCACGTGCAGCCGACAGTATCAACAACGCAGCAAGTCCACTCTTCACGCCAGTGAAGGGTAACCTTAGCAAACATGAGGGTCCAAACCTCACCTTTGTTTTGTTGTGTCTTTGAAGCGGGTAGCCGCGCCCAATCTTCGCCTTCAGCATCCCCACGGCGTTCTCGATTGTTGCCTCCCCAAACTGTTGTTGGCTCCCCTGTTCGAGGTTGGGGAAAAGGAGGTTTTCTACCTCCCCTTGAAGGGTCGCCAGGTCCTCTGGACACGACAAACAAATGCAAGTAGAAGCATGAGCAAGGTTGATAATGTTGTGTGCTTCAACGAAGCTTGGTTTAGAGGGGCCAAAGTACTTGGACAAATAAGCGATCTTGTGAGCAAGAGCAACAACAACAACAACGAACAAACAACAAACAAACAACAACTTTGACTTTGACTTGTTTCGCTGGCGGTATTGGTGCCGATACAGATGGGAAGTTGGAAATGTACGTCGATGAACGCAGTGATGGCACGCCTGTAAGTACCTGGAGACGTCGGCAGGATCGCACCCCTTGGACTTGCAGCTGGCCCATCTGCAGCAGACGCGGGCGCGGGCGAGCTAGCGGCGCCAACTTCACCTCCTCCAGACCCAGACCCACAAAGAGGTGACGGTGAACCAACTTCTGGGCCAACTTCTCCCAGCCCGCCCAGCCCGCCCTCCACGTCCTCACCCACATCAACATGATGTGACTCGTTCGTAACGGCAGCAGCAGTATAAGACTCCATGCTTTCGCTCATGCGGAGGTTTGTCGGCTCCGTTGGGTACGCAGCAACGGCGGTCAGAGGAAGCGTCCCACGTCTCTGTGCTGCTGTTGTGCTGTTTTGCTGTTGTGCTGGTTCTCGCTTTCAAAAAAAAGGTTCTGTAGTATGAGTTCTGGAGGCGTTTTCGTCGCTGGAGCACGAGTCTCTGTCGCCAGTGCTGGAGAGTACGCACGCCGCCTGGTCGGCGACCTCTGGGGGTACGCAACCAGGACTGTACGTTTGATGGGGTGTCTTGGACGTGTCCCGCCGCATTTTCGACTCTGGCGGCGGCGACTCTCACGACACCTCCATCTTCTGTCTGCCTCTGTCTCTCCGCAGAGTACGGCAGCGAAAGAAGGTGGGCTAGTTCGTTTCTCGCCCCTCACACAAAGTATCGCACCACGCACCCTTTTGAACGTAATCGTACACACGCCCTTGATATACGTAAGAAGTCGTCTGGATTGAGAGCTACGCTGTACATGTCCAGCCACGCGATAAATACCTGCAGACTACACATAACAACAGCAGCACGTATTCCAGTGAGTGCCACCAAGTAAGAACCTCTTCTTTTGGGAGAGGCTAGCGGCTAACTGGCTGACCAAACCAAGCAACTGCTGGGGGGTTTTGTCACTCCAAGTTGCATGGTTTGTATTTTTTTATTGCAGTCGGGCGCACTTTTTTTCTCCCTGCAATTTTAAATCTGCATGTTGTGGAAAATTGCTTTACTTCGAAGTATAATAATAACTACTGCTGTGTCCAAGTACACGAGCACCCCCGCTCTTCAGACAGTTCTGCCAGTCGCCGTTCGTTGCCACAGGAGCACCATATCGGCTTGCTTCGAACGACAATGACTTCCATGACGACGAGTGGTATTCAGGATACAAGCAACGTTGTTGGTGCTAATTACGGCCAACATGTGTACAATCCACAACAACGATGTTGCGCGGTCTGCCGGAGGCCGACTGCACCACCACGACACCTGAATATCTTGCTCGTCTGATAAGTCGGCATTTTCATGGTTGTTACGCTGAACAACTGGAGCAGACAGAAGAAAGTGCTCGAGCGTGGCGGCATGGGCGACCAAGAGCAACAAGCAAACGCGGTCAAGGTTGTGGTGAAGGTCGTCGTACAGAACCTGGAGAAGAAGGCGGGGCTTGCAACCAGACTCGTCGAGCAATACCAACCAGACATCCTGCTGGCGCAGGAGTTAAACCGCTGTTCGGAGGAAATCGACACTGTTAGTAACTTGTCAAGACTAGGCTTCGGAACGGGCATTTACAGCCGAGCTGCAACCATCACCAATGTGCGGAGAGTCACTAGCCCACACGCCGAGATTGGCGGATTCGTCTTCAAGAAAACAATCGTGGCGGATTGTGTGGGGGTCCAGTTTGTTTCGTTTCATGGATACAACGGACAGCCTTTCCGAAAGATTGACAAGCTTATCGACCATGTGAACGCCGTTTTGTCGGTGCTCGATGCAGATCGCCCGTGCCTGTTTGCGGGTGACTTTAACACGTGGTCACAGGCCCACATCGATGCTTCCACGTCTGTTCTTGGTGATGCAGGCTTTGTCTTGGCGTGCTCGTGGCCTTATCCGGGAAGGGATCTTCCTTTGGATCATGCTTTCGTTCGAGGCGTTCAACTCGAGAGCTCGTTTTCGTATGGCTGTGAATCAGATCATAACGGGGCGGTGCTCGAGATAAGCCTCCCCTAGCTACAATAGGGCAATGTCGATATGATACAACACGAGCGTCTCGGTGATATGCACAAAGAGTAAAGGGGTGCTTTTGGGGGTACCTTTGGGTCCTTCGCCGTGACGGTATGTAGTCTACATAGCCGAAAGGTGGAATGATTTTCTCCAACGAACAGTGCTTGGCGTCGATTTCCAACCCCTCTTCGACTGACCCCTTGGGAAGAGAAGTATTGTAGTTGCCGAACTCACGGCCATCAAGTGATCATTATTTGGCGCAGTCTGCTCTCGACACCATCAATAGTGATTTGTCGTCCCTGTTCGGTCTATTGGTTAGGCGTCTTGGGCGAACAACAGTCTGACTGGGTGTGGTAGCAGCCCAGTTGTGGGCGTTTCCCTCACTATCCAGAACACAGGGATACATCGGTTCAATCCCCCCAAAGAATAACTCGAAAGCCTGAACGTGGCGTCGAAACTTGTCAACGATGGGAACTGGCGTTGCTGCTGCACGGGACCAACCGCGGCAGCAAGGGTACGGTGTTGTTTACCGGATTACAGTTCTTCGCGCACCAGCAAGAGCGTGACAGTCCTTGGACATTCTGCTTACATCTTAACAGTTGATATTTGCCTTGCAGGTCTTGGAGGCGACAGGAATCAGGAGGGAACAAATACACACAAAGGGCACCATTCAAACAAGTCAGGTCGGTTGTAGTTTTGTTGAGCGTTTTCCGACGTGGTACTACTTGCCAAAACCTTTCCTCAAGTCTCCCAACATTGTAGAACATCCCCCGGGGGTGCTTCTTTCCCAGTGAAACGGACCGCTCCTATGGGTGTTCACCCCGTGCCCAACTTGGGCCCGTGCGCTATGCGATTCGCCCGGCTAAGTCGCCCGTCTCACGCCTCCTCATCGTCAAGAAATGACTCTCATTCAAAGATGGCTAATTCCCTCGCCTAGACTTAGAAGGCTGACAGGGGTAGCGGGAACCCGACCGCTTGGCGGCGAGTCGATATTGCTTCGTTCGACCTCCGAGGCGTGTTTTTTATGGGGGTGCAGAACGTTCACCATGTCGTCCGAACACCCAAGAGGTCGACATCTGTTTTTCTGCTAACATGTGTTTTTTTGCGCTTCCAACAGTTCTTGACTGGCGGAATTTGAACCCTGGTTATCTTCTTCCAAAACCAAACAGTGCGTCGACGCCCATGTCGAAGACGGTATTATCGTCCTCCACACACATTGGGAACATTTGACCCTTTTAAAGCTTTTGGAGGTCATCTCTAACCTCTTCACCTTTTTCCAGATCTAGGCGCTGGTCGGTTGGTAAGGACTTGACACAGTTGTCAGCGCTTAGTCCAGTAGACTATGCGGTACATTTCAGAGAAAAATGTACCGTGCCCCAGCGGTGCGTGGAGTCTCCACTGGCCAATCAGAAGCCGAGGGAGGCCAAGCGTGGATGGGTCCGGGTCCCAAGCTCAAGAGAAGCGATCCACACTAATGAAGCTGTGTAAAACTTGAACATGCACCACTTCACTTGTACCATTTCCACATGCATGCATGCAAGAATTTGCGATCACCTCAGCGTACGGAAGACGCGCACGAATCTTCCCGTCCAAGAGGTTAACCCATTCAATTAATACTTTCATCACCGCGAACTTGATTATCTGCCTGTTACCGCCGAGGAGATTCGGAACAGGATAATACGTACGGAAACCTGCAATACTTAAACTTCGACGCAAAATACCCCAAAAATGAATATATCGTGAACCGCATTAACCACAGAATGTCAGCGTACACCCGGGTACCCACTCTACGAAACACATGCCTATCACTCATCCCGGTACGCATGTGTCTGGGACGGAGCCCAACACAACCAACGTGGTCGTTTAAGGCTGGTTGTTTTTGCGTCTGCATGACGAACCAAACTCGGACTCTCTTACCAAGTTCCCCGAAAGGTCTCGTGTGTATGCACCCCAGCAGAAACACCACAGATCGTAATGGGTGATACCACTCGTGCCTGTCGTCGTGAAAGGACGCTACTTATCGCACAGGCGCAGACAGACTCTAAATAAACAAGGAACGGACTTGTTGCAGGGCTCTCTACGTTACTTCCCCCACCCCCACCGGAACACCGAGAGTAAAAAACTAATACACCCCGAACGAACAATGTGCAAGCAGATCAATACATGCATCCAGGAGGATCAATACATTACATGTGTTGTACCCCTCACAAGAACCCCATAGCGAGGGGTGCTTGGAATACTCTTCAACTATGCACTCCGACAAGCTTTGTCGTCCTCGCGGGGCAGCAACAGACCCACCACGGCCGGAAATCATCATCCCTCCGGGACGCGCCGCCGAGAGACCGCGAAGATCGTTCGTCGAACCGGCACGGCGCCGCTTGCTCCGGCAGCGGCAGCGGCAGCAGGTGAGGAAGAAGACGGCCGTCCTGCTCCTCCTCCTCCTCCTCCTCCTCCTCCTCCGCACCCTCCTCCT